AATGCTCATCAGTAAGAATCAACCTAGCTAAATCCTTAATATGATCTCCGAACAGAAAACTGGGCTTCTTTAAAGCCTGAGTAGAAGAAGAATCTGCAGTAAAAGGAGCATCCGTGATCAGCTGGCGTAAGCAATGACGTCCCCATCCCGTATCAAACGGCAGGACTCGTCGGAACGATCATCATCAAACTGGGGGAGTGGACCAATAGATCCCGTATCAAACGGCAGGACTCGTCGGAACGATCATCATCAAACTGGGGGAGTGGACCAATAGCCTGTCTGGTGGAAGCCGAAGAGAAAACCTCACCACTACAACCGGTAGTAGCATGAGGAGAAATACTGCCCGTGGGGAACTCGACTACAACAAAACAAGGATAGAGTCAGAAAATTATCCATGAATTAAATCCACCTCATAAGAGAGCGAGATAAGATCGTCCACGGGGTAATTGGAGAGACGATTTTGAGTGTCTTACACCGGAAGAACGGTATGCATCATCACGTAAATAACGTGGTAACATACACCGACCTATAAGGTGTAAGACGACACAAAATTACCCCAACATACCAGAAGACTTGAATTGGCTAAGCAAAACAAGTCCGAAACCTCAACCCCCGCGAAGGAGGGTGTCGGCCCTTCCCGAATGACCCGCGAAGGGGCCAAACGAGGGTATTTTGGAACCGCCAATATCTTGAAACCTCAATCCCCGCGAAGGAAGATGTCGGTTCTTCCTTAATGACCCGCGAAGGGATCAATTAGGGATACAAATAGAAAATATAGATTCTCACCCCCGAAAAAGGAGGCCGCTGGAGAGGATGCTGTGGGAACTTCTCCCTCGCTATGCTGCGAACGGGAACGACTCCTATGAAGTCGAGGTTGACGTGGAGACATCGAGAATCTTCAATGGAAATCAACGGGTCAGGTACAATTATGAATTTGAATACGTGAAATTTAAAAGGAAAATTAAGAACTTTAACTAAAATCCTATAAATAAATAGGATTTTATAGTTGAGGTCTAATTAAACCTACAAATTTCGTGCATGCAAAACAATGATCATGATAAATTTCGGTGAAATACCCAAAATACCTCTCGTATTCAAGGCTAAAATTCTAGTCAAGGATACACTCGAATTGGGTCATGATCATCATATGTGTTCATCCAATACCCCACAATTTTGGTTAATTTTGCAAATAAACCCTTTTGTAAAATTTAGCCAATTTTGCAAAAAGTCTCCTCCACAAATTTCGGTTTAGTTTCCGCATGTCTTTATCAAAACTTTGGTCATGGGTTTGTGGTCTAAACTTTTGGAACTTCAGCACTAAAATTTTAGCTCTTTTTGCAAATAAACCCCTCTACAAATTTTGGGTTGCTTTTTACAAATAAACCCCTCAAACAACATTGATTCTTTGCATACAAACACCTCTCAAAGTTTGGCCAAATGGGTATGGAATTCTAACTCCAAATTTCAGTCCATATTTGCATAGAAAACCCTCAAATTTCAGTCCACTTTTTCATAAAAGTCCCCCAAATTTCGGCCCTATTGCAAGTTTTGCATAAAACCCCCAAATACTTGTGCATACACAACCCATCATCAAAGAGCCTATCTTTTAACTCATGAGAACAAAAAGCTAGGATCTTGGCATGTAAATTCATGTTATACCCCATTACAAGCATAAAGCTACAATCTTTTCAAAAAAAAAAAGAGAGCTTGTGAGAGGAAATTTACCCAAAACCAAGAAGCTTTCTTTGAACTTGAGGGTGAAGAAGGAACCCTAGTTGAGAGGAAGGAAATTTCGGCCAAGGAGGGGATGCAAAAAAATCCGAATTTTAGGCTTTTAAAGGGGAAGAGTTTCAATGGGTTTAGAGTTCTTGAAAGAGAGAAATAATGGGGTATGGATGAAAGGAGGAAAAAGGAGTTTGAGAGGGAAAGGGATTCTCTTTTGAAAATTTGGAAAGAGGGGGAAAACAAAAAAGGAAACAAAACCAAAACAAGAAGGAAAACAAAAGAGGAAACAACAAAAAAAGGAAAGAAAAGCAAAAAAAGGAAAGAAAAGCAAAAAAAGGGGGGGAAGTCTCGGCCTTGAACCGAGACACCCTAGGGTGTCTCGGTTTTGGCCGAGACACCCAAGGGTGTCTCGGCCAAGGTTGAGACACCCTCGGGTGTCTCAGCCCAGTTCGAACCCCCGGATCCCATTTCGAAGTCCGATTTTGCCCATTCTCGTCGTTTTTTTGAACGTTTCGACAAAATCAATACAAGTTAACACTCGACGTTCGAAACCCTAAGGTCAACGCCGGTCAACGCGTAACCCTAGGTCAACGCCAGTCAACGCGTTACGACCAAAAAGTCAACATTCGACGTTCGAAACCCTAGGGTCAACGCGTAACCCTAGGTCAACGCGCCGGTCAACGCCGGTCAACACGTAACCCTAGGTCAACGCCAGTCAACGCGTTGCGACCAAAAAGTCAACGTTTGACGTTCGAAACCCTAGGATCAACGCCGGTCAACGCGTAACCCTAGGTCAACGCCAGTCAACGCGTTACGACCAAAAAGTCAACATTCGACGTTCGAAACCCTAGGGTCAACGCGTAACCCTAGGTCAACGCCACTCAACGCGTTGCGACAAAAAGTCAATGTTCGACCTTCAAAACCCTAGGGTCAACGCCGGTCAACGCGTAACCCTAGGTCAACGCCAGTCAACGCGTTGCGACCAAAAAGTCAACATTCGACGTTCGAAACCCTGAGGTCAACGCCGGTCAACGCGTAACCCTAGGTCAACGTCACTCAACGCGTTGCGACAAAAAGTCAACGTTCGACCTTCGAAACCCTAGGGTCAACGCCGGTCAACGTGTAACCCTAGGTCAACGCCAGTCAACGCGTTGCGATCAAAAAGTCAACATTCGACGTTCGAAACCCTAGGGTCAACGCCGGTCAACGCGTAACCCTAGGTCAACGCCAGTCAACGCGTTGCGACCAAAAAGTCAACATTCGACATTCGAAACCCTGGGGTCAACGTCGGTCAACGCGTAACCCTAGGTCAACACCACTCAACGCGTTGCGACAAAAAGTTAACATACGGTAATCTGAAACCCTAAGTCAGCACAATGTGACAGAGGTAGTCAGTTCAAAGTCAACTCAATGACACAAGCCAAACTCAACTCACTGGTGGTAGACTCGAGACTCCGACAACGGCCAAGCGATAAACACAGCACCGGAAGGACTTCGGCTATTCGTCAAAACATTGGATAGACCGAAAATCGGAGGAGCCAAGAGTTGAAACTAGCTACAGGTCCTTTATGCCGACTGAAGGCTGGACCAATCACATCCAAAGTATTCCAGCCTCTTCTATAAAAGAAACGAGTCCGGAACGCTTTGGAGGGGGTATCTGTAGGCATCGAAAATTACCTATAGGTCTCCACGAACAGCTCAGTGTTAAGGAACGACGATGAACGTCACTATCCGGTCCACAGGAGTTCAATTAATGTCGGTGAACGCTTGAAGTAAAATGACGAACTACGTGGACTAACAGAATTTCGGAATAACGAAGGTACGGGCTAATCGGGAGCCCCGCGATGTTTACAAAAAGAAAAATACCCTTCGTGTCTCATTCATTCTACAGATGATCTAACCATCGGAGCTGATAGAACTCCTTGTCGGCTTTCCAACGCACTTCGAATCACTCAAATCCGAGTTCGGACGAAGAATTTACAGCGGAAGCAGACATATACACCATAACAGAGTGTCTCGGACCAACGAGACACCCTAAGGTGTCTCGGCTAAGGCCGAGACACCCTTCCAATCCTTAGTATTATCCCGTTGTGGTAATTCTAAGAAGAGCAATTATCTCGCTTTTGTCGAAATAAGCGCTTCTGTTTCTAGATCTCCTCGCGGATCGACGAAGCTCTGGACCTGATCTGATTGCCAGGTAGTCCACGGATATCAACATCCCCGTCACAGGCTAAAGACCCACGCAAGCAAGAGACGACGAACGGATCTTGTGTTATTTTCGAGAAAGTTGTATTTTTTTTTCTTTTCTTTTGATTAAGATCTGAATTCTTTGTAAACACTAATATTATAATGAGTTCAGTAATGAAGGCAACTTTTACCGAAAATACCATCCAAAGTGCTCAAGGTTGAAGATTACACATTTATTTTTTGCAGATGATCTACTATTATTTGGAAAAGCTGATATGAATTCAATAATAAGGTTTTACAATTGTCTCAATGAGTTCAGCCAAGTATCAGGTTTGGAAACTAATCCCAGCAAATGCTCGGTATACTTGAGTGGTATTGATGATAATCAAAATTTTCAGGTATGCTCATATTTGAATTTCTTTGAAGGGATTCTACCAGTGAGGTACTTGGGAATGCTCCTAATATCTAAAAGATTATCATGGTTAGATTGCTCCCCTCTAATTAGTAAAATTTTAGAACAATTCCAGAATTGGCGAAGAACGAAAGCTCTTTCTTATGCGGAGAGATTGAACCTGATAAAATTAGTCATCTTAGGTGTTCACCTTTTTTGGACAAACAGCTACATATTACCAAATAAGGTCCTACAGAAAATAGATAAATTGTGCTCTAATTTTCTCTGGAATCACAAAGTACCATTAGTCTCCTGGGCTACAATCTCTCAGGATAAAAAGCATGGAGGACTAGGAGCGTTTTCAGCAAAAACATGAAATTATGCTGCTTTCATTAAACTATTGTGGATGATTCATCTCAAAAAGGACCTCCTTTGGATAAAGTGAGTACATTGAAGTTATTTGCAACACTCTGATATTTGGCATGTTCGAATGAAAGTGAGTAATTCTTAGATGTGGAAGCAGCTTTTGAAAGTCAGGGATATGATGATAGGAAGATATGGGAGTTTTAGCAATTTGAAAAACACCATTGAAAGTTGCTGCAAGGAAGGTAATATTCAAATTTCCTCTGTTTACAGAAAAGTTATACAATATGGTATGGTCTTCATTATCCTAAGCACTCTTTTATACTAATATATATGTTGCTTATCAATTCAAACTTTATTGTGTTACTAATACTGATGATCAAATCTGCAATATACGAAAACTACAATACTTCACCACAAACACACACAAAAAAAATAAAAAAAAAACGTAAAACTTAGCAAGGAACATAATAGTTACTAGCTAATGTTTTCCCCTTCACTTCTCAGGCATCAAGCTCGAAAGCAGATGCGTCAAAACTATCAGAAAGCCCAGTTCCAGTCTTAAAAGTGAGCTTCTCAGAGGAAGGAGTTTCGAAGTACATCTCAACAACAGACAGCCACAGTAGCAGCTCCTTAGTCTTCACCCCGGTCATCTTCTTCATCTTGTGAGGCTCGACAAACGCGGTCACCTCAGTCGCATACGAAACCTGACGCTTGACCTTTTTGAAGGTGTGGTTCTTACTCTTCTTCTGAATTATCCACACGAATCCTGATGCACGATTGTAGCCGAACTCTTCTATGTCCTCCACAGGGAACAAGCCCTTCGGAAGGCAGATCTCTGTCAGAAGTTCGACGATCTTCTTCTTGCACTCAGCATCCCCATGACAGACCTCTGCACCCTCTCTGCAGCTCTCAATGGCCTTGGATGCCATAAGTAGAATATTCTCAAAGATGTTTTATGTAATAAGATCTAATTGAGAAGTTTTGGATTTGATGAGAAAATGCTTGGAGGTAGAGAGCAATATATAGGCAGTAGGAGATCGGACTTGCCGCCTGGTCTAATATTGGACCGGGGATGAGGTTGACTGTTGAACGAGTGAGCGTTGAGTCGTGGCATGATTGGACGTAATGAGCTGCCGTGTGGATCCGGTTAACTAAATAGACCGCTGAACCGGCGCAATGGACGGGTCAAGGTTTGAAGTTTGAACCCGTAAAGAAATACGGAACCGGTCCAAGTAGTAGTGCTAGCGCGTAAATTAGTCGAGAGGATTTTTCTTTCCTTCAATTTCTTTTCTTTCTTTTTCTTTCACTTCTGTTCTCAGCAATAAGAGTTAATTGTGTATGGATTCATGTACTATCACTTAATTGCGGACAAATCTCCTGCAGTCCCTATCGTTGTTCACTTGTTGCCGATAGATCTCTTGTAAGCTATACTATCGCCCAATTTCGGATAACCTCTTGAGTGAAATTTTTTCAACTCTTTTTACCTTCAGAAGGTCTGTTTATATTTACAAACCCCCAACCCCCCGCCCCCTCCCAGGTCAAGAGTCAAAACTCTCGCTCATGGAGTCTATCTGCCTAAAACTATATGGTGTCCGTCCGCAAGTAACTCTAAAAAACAAGTATAGCTTTGCTCCCCTTCTATCAGGATAGAACCACATATGATCCGCAAATATAAAGCAAATTATCCTCCTCACTTGGATCAGCTTCTGCCAATTGATGAGCAATTCATGTGTTCCCGGCTCAGTTCTAATTTTTCTCCAGCCTCAAAAATACATTGTGGAACCAGCCAAATCAAGGACAAACGCACGCAGCCTTCAAGATAGCTCTCAAGACATAGGAAACAAGCAAGTCGACGCAAGAAACTATATCCATCCATACAAGCATCAACACTGAACAAGTCCTCAATAAAGATGCACATACAAATAAATACAAACTTCGACACTAGTACATCCAAACTCGAGTGGCAACACAAAAGACACAAAATGGAAGGCACAAGATCATCATACATCCTCTGGGGAGAAAGACTGCCTCACCAATTTAAGCACAGACGAGTAAACTTCATTACTGGATACTGCAGACAAACATGTCTTAGGCTGCAAATCGCAAAAAAATAAAAAGCTAGTGTTGTCCTCAGCACAAGCACTAGGAAGTCATGATTTTCTCGCCACAAATTAAAAAGAATACATTCCTGATTTGTGCATAAATAGCTCAGCTACACCAGTCAACGACAACTGATGGTCGCGCAAGAAAAAAAATCAGGTACTTATTGAGTTACAATAGGATGGATGCCTAACAAACCATCCATGCACTGACAATATGCTAAATTACAAATGAATAGTAATAGTGAAGAGGAAAAGAGAGACAGAGGAAGCGTCTAGGATTTCAACTCTCGTGCTCAATTACCAAGAATGTTTTATTCATCATAGGCGAAGATGTGGCCTCCCTTCCGTTGCTGCAAATGCAACAGGTAGACATGGATCAGTCCAAATTTTGAGAACAATAGAAGGGGAAAAAAATCACCCATTAAGAAGGATATATGAAAATCCAGAACATGAAAAGCAATAAAGAAAATGGATTCCATGACCAAAGGGAGGGGATAAATAATCTCCAATGTTACACCATATCCTAAAAAATTTAGTAACTTGTAAAATCATCAGTGACTCAGTAACTTAATATGCCACGAAAATGGATCTGACTTCAAAACCGCAAATAAATGTATGAACAAGTGTCAGTTATATCCTTCATAACCTTAGAAATTATGGTAAAGTGTTGGTCATCCTTCATAAGAATCATTGCATTGAAAAACCACATCGTCCACATAATACTAAAATCTCAAATGCAGCATTCTAGCATGATAAGTAGTTTCCTACAAAGGACAAGGTCCAACAAAGAAATAATTGAAAAGACAATATAGCATGATCATCATGTTTCACAGTACTGTACCAAGATACCGAGAAATAAGATGAAAATCTACAAATTTTCTTCAAAAAAAAAATACCTGAGCCATCTGACGGTATTTATTCCTCTCCCGAGTTCTTTCTTTGTATTCAGAAGACCTATTGACCCTCTGCATAAGAGAATATTCAATTAAGCAGTTGTACCAGAAAGAATATAATATTTTGGTGTAGCCTATACCCTCTGCAAGGCCATAATAAGTAATTTAAAAGATCATGCTGGCGTATCCCATAGAAAAAAAAATTCATACAGTGCCAATGTCAAATTTAGCTATCCTACAAATAATGATGCTCCTTTACATGGTCAATAAATACCTGCCAGTGCATAAACACTATATATATGAATCAGACCAAAAAAATTAACATAAAATTTAGCAAACACGCACAATTAACTCGAAAAACAATGCATAATGCAGAAAAAGTGGTAATAAATTAGCTTGGGGGAGCATGGTAGCATGGCGTCGCTGCAGTAACTATGTGCCTTTAGCTACATCAATTAAAACACCGGATGCTGGAGATTGATTGTTTCAGGAGAACGATGAACTAAAGCAACCGTACCTTTTCCTTGGACGACAGATGATCATTTCTATCTGGTGTCAGGTTAAAAATATCCTGAAGCAGTTCGTTTTCCTGTATGAACAATATCAACATAGACATATAATGCAACCTATGTAGGATTTAAGACCACGAAACTGTTATGAACAAGTTGGTAATAGATTATAACCTGTGCATGCTTAAGGAAACCACTTGCAAGATAACGTTTAAAAAAGTTCAGCTGGATCAATTGGGTCCAGGTTGATGTTACAAGCAAGCCATGCCCTTTAGAAATTTTTGTTGAAGTTTCTGGACACTCCTTATCCTGAGCAGATACTAATGTCAGCTAATAATTCTTAATATTTCAGGCATTAAGTTACAACAGATACAAAAGCCTACCAGAAAATACTTATAGATCTTCTGAAATAAGTCCCTTTGATTATTAAGATTCTTCTTATCAACAGCACTCTTACCCCCAGCCTCCATGGAAAGGACCACAACTTGATTCATTATTTTTGCTTTCGAAGACAGTAATTGTTTAAACCATTTAGGTTTATAATTCTCGGTATCAGAACCAACGAGATCATTATTCTCAGAAGATAACTTATCACCTATCACAATTTCAAAAGTAATAGCTATTGCTTCCCCAGCTGCAACACGGACAGCACGATCATCATGTTCCAATAGAGTGCAAAGACCTGAAATTGGCCTGAACAAGTTTGTTATAAGAAAACTGATCACCATGACAAAATTACAAAATACTAAATAAATATACAATAATTGATTAGCTTTACTTACTCTGTCCAGTTGTCAAGATTGATTCTCCAGCTGCCAATAGTTGTAAGAAGTAACGACCATCCAGATAGAGCTGATGACAAGACAACAGTGCTAGGCTTATTACCCTATATAGAAAGAGAACTCAAATTAGTTGACAAACAGAATAACTGCATTATGCTAATATTCCAATAAAGAACAAGTGTTTTCATGCTTGAGATTCCAATAAAAAAATTATCTAAATGGCTAGAATGCAGAGGAAGACCCTCGTAAAAGGTGGCGTCCACATTTGTGTCGAGAGACGAAAGGAAGGGAAAATTTGCAGTCACCGAAGTCATTGGCCATAAAAAGAATGCAAAGCAGAGAAGGAAACATAAGACTGCCCACAAAATAGTAGGACACAGCTACATGATCAAGGTAAATAGGTTATAATTAAGCTAAGATCCAGACAATACGAGAAAGGGTAAAGAGAAGTAAACGGCATGGTCAGCACCTTATCTTCCTACAATTAAGGAAGTGTGAAAATGAAGGAAAGGTGACATTGAGAGTAGGATGAGTCGTGTCCTTTTTCCCTTCCAGAAGGGGTGTGGAGGGTTGTTGGAGGTAAAAAGATCAAAGATTGCTCACCTTGGTACCCGGTTTTAATTGGATGATATCCCACATGATTTTCATAGATTTTTCAGTTTCTTCCCAATTATTTGCACCCACAAAGGTGGTGACTGCTAAACAGTCCAGCACCTGCAGTTGTAGGTAAGAATATTAAGCGCTGTCTGCCAAACAACAAAAACAATGAATTTTTCTTCTCAAATAACACATACCGATATCTTCAATGCATCACTTCCAGTTAAAAGGGCCCTTTCGATATGTGGTAATGTCTGCTCCATTATTTCCTTTGCAGTGCTCCCAGTGCCAACAGTAATAGCCAGTAACCCTTCAAATAAAAGCACCAACATGAAAAGAATTGCAATTTGTAAAGACAAAAAATTACGGGTAATTAGGTTGAAGACCAACCAATAGCACGAGAAGCTAGGCATGCCTCTGTTGGTGAGCCCTTGCCCTTTTTCAAGGATGTGATGTATTCATCTAATAATGTGATGCATCTGCATCAATCAGCAGAAGGTAGTGAGAATAGGAGATAAGGTCAGCAAGTCATATTATGTTACAAACCAGGAAAGAAAATAATATCATATAAGAACTACTTGTTCTCAGCGGTGATAAGTTTGGGACCTGTTGAAATCCATGAAAACAAACTCTAGCTAAATGCATTTTATTGGATATATCAAAGTAGCTGTTATCTCCTAATGCAGTCTGGGTAGGATGTTAATTTTTAATTTTGGTCATTTTACAATGCATAGGTGCCCCTAACGTGTCCAGTATCAACTCACTCAAATCATAGAAAAACTCTTAATGCCTCATGTGAAGTATTAGAAAGGTTTTCCACTCACTCAATCATGGAGAAAGGCTTAATGTCAGGTATAAAGTATGAGAAAAGATCAATATAGCAGATAATCCATATTTTCAGTTACATAAAAATTGACCAAACATTTCAGAACCTGCGGAAGTTAAACATACATGAAGACAAATAAAAAGATAAAAATACTTTTTCTGACAAAGTTCTAAGCAAGTTGAATCAGGTCAGACAATTGGATATCTTCAAATTTTATATAAATGGGGCAGAAAGTAGCAAACATCGCCACAGAACACCTGGAAAGCAACCTAAATTGAACACATACAAACAATGGCAGAGCAAACTTGAAAAGCTTTAATTTAAAAGAATACATAATTATGCTGAAATATAATAAAGTGCTGTGTTTAATTTATATAATGAAGAGTTGGCATGCTTTAATCCCCCCACAAAATATGTAAACCACTTTCACATTACATCCCGATTATTTTTTAACCTTTGTTATTATAAATGTTATCTTACAATCTGGTTAAGTGCCAAAATGTGTGCGATAAATGTCCAGAACTAGCATTAGCCAAGAAACCGAGACATATAAAAGTCTACATGGAGACAACTTCATGGCAGAAACTGTTACAGCTCCGTGGGAACCAACTTAAGTACAAAACAACTCACTTGTTCTCTATGAAAGGAAGAAGTGTGTTTCCTTCAAATGCATTGACGAGTTCTGACAATGCCTTCAATCTTGAAGATCTGGTTTATGAAAGAAAAAAAAAATTAGGACAAGAACTCTCCAAAATACAAATAAATACCGCAAAATACTCAACAATCCAATATCCACAGGGACAAAACTATAAGTGTCAAATAGTGGATATTCAGGAACATTTAATTATTAAATGAAAATAAATGCTGTTGCAAAGAAAGAAAGAGTGATAAATACAAGACATACTTAAGATATAACCTGAAGCTCTATTAAGACCAGTTTACAAATCAGTCAGCAATCAACTGCCAAAACATTATACCACACCACAAACACAACAAAATGGAAATAGTTTCTAAACAACAGAAATAGTTAACTGAGGTTTGACAATTTATTTATAAGTATTACATCCCTTTTTCAAAAGAACTTTAAATTGTAAATTTGTAACAGACAATTTCTGTTCTTTTAAGTTGACCAGCTCATCAATCCAATCACTAATGTAATGGAAAACATGGAATGGTCCACTTAGTGAGCCCAATTTAGAAAATACATCAATCCAAGCACTAATGCAATGGATAACATGTACGGTCCACTTAGTGAGCCCGATTTAGAAAATACAGTGATCGAAAAAAAGAAGCTCAAACACTCAGATACAGCTAGCAGAGCTCATGCATTATAATATTGAATAGCAATAGGAACATCTAATACATCCTACCAACAAAAAAAACAATGAAATTAAATATCAGCAATTGGAAGCTGTGCAAATTTGATGGACACGATACACACATACATGGCATACAAGAGGGAAGCTATTCTACTGTGAGTAATTTGTCACATCTGACTGACATGTAGTCAATCAGAACTTACAGTAGTGGAATAAAAAAATTGAAGAAACTATGTCCAGTATTACGTTTGCAACCAAGTGAGATAGATTATTGTGAGCTAGTTCTGTGAGGGAATATGGACAAGTTATCGCTATCAAGGTACCATCTCTCACGAGTAATTTCTCCATTCTGCATATTACTACAGGTTCTCTATATTTCATTTCATATACTTCAACGAAAATGTTGCAATGTCTGCTCATTTGTGTCAGATGCATGTTGATTGATAGGTGGCAACCCTTCAAGACTTCATCAGAAATTCATGCATTACCTGAGGTTCTTTTTTCAAGATAAAGGACAAGTGATACTTAAAAGAGTCTAAAAACACTAATCTGCTTCCACTGACTAGTTCATTGATATTCCGCCTCCAACCCATATAAATTCTAGGTCTGTGGACCATGGATAACAAGAACATCAAAAAAATCAGACAAGTATAAACCATCACTTTTAAGTGTCTGGATTATTAAATCCTATTAACTGAAACTTTCATGTAAAAGAATGTTAGCTAAACACATAGCTTGATATTTTGATAAAAAAAAAAAGAGTTGACATGTTGTCTCAGTACACTTTATACCACTATTTCTAGCAGCAATATGTAGAGAGGATTGAAAAATAGGAGATCTTCGGAGGCATTCTATATTTCAATAAATGAAATTTCAATCTGAAAAATCCTGTGACATTTAACTGATTGTATGACATGGCATATCTATACTAGTTACTAATACATAAAAAATGGAGAGGGATATCACAAAATTGAAGGACAGGATAACATGTGCTCTCTTCTACTATAAATGAAGAGGCAAAAAAGTAACTTTCATGAATGACTTTTCCCTCTCTTTTCACTTCACTCTCCTGAACATTCCAAAGCATACCATGACATGAACATAGGCCACTGGACAACATAATCACATATCATTCCATCTAGGTTATAAAAAACAAAAAAAAAAGTATTAAGTTTCTCTAGGAAAATATCAAGCATGTATCACAGAAAGGCAAAGAATATCTACGTATCAAGTATAAGTTTTTCAGCAAAAGAAAGAACCATGAAGCTTTTATTATATCTCGCAAATTTATGGTGGCTCACTGTATGAAAAATACGAATAGTTAAATGTCTTTTTCATCAAACAATAAAAAATATTGTAGATAAATGAGTAATTGTTTAATATAAATTTTTAGTAATAAAAAATAGATGTAATATCATAATGGATATCAAATTTTGAACATTTTTCCTTGCAACTTCAACATTCAAGAACTAAGTTGTTAAGCTTTAGATTCCTCACATTCCTGATTTCTATGAATTTAGTAAGTTGAAATACTCAAAATTTAATATTATCTAATTGGTTTGCTTAAAATATAATTGCACATACTTCTAAATTGAAGATTATTCTATGCAGGCTTTTTTAACTAAAAGCATTATACTTACAGTCTCTTAAAAGTAGAATATCTTAAACTATTTTTTATTTTATTAAAAATACAGTACATACAGTTTTTATTTCGTCTTCCCGTTTATTATGCATGACCGACAGCAGCTGTTAGTTACTCATCAATATTAAACTAATATTTGTAGCTTCTTGGGACCGAAATGTCCTATAACTAAAATTATTTTATTATATACTTGTTTCCAGTTATGCCATAATGTATTAGAAACACAAAGAATATTATATACATGCATAAATAAGCAGGAAAATATACCACACACATTGTGCATCTTAACCCCGGTACAAACAAAATAAAATCTTTCATTTCTACAATCCCGAGAAACATTAAAACAATGAAGAAATAAGACTTAAACAGATCAGTAAGAGATTGAAAATACTTCTTGTCAAGAGAATCAAGGCATCTTTCCACCACCGCGTCGAGAGAGTTGACATTCTCGGTCTCATGAGCCAAAGTCAGATCAGACAAAGCTGTAGCTGTAGAACTTACGCTGTCGGTGTCACTAATATTCGACAAGTCAATTGCGCTCTTGTTTTGCTTTCCTGCAGGAAGAATTAACAAATTCCAATAAAGTAACAGACAAAGGCAATTAAAAAGCATCTCAAAGTTTCCATCTTGGAGTAATATACAAATCAGCAAGTATCAAAAAACTAGACCTTTCGTAAACTATAAGAAGCAAGAAACATAAAGAAGCAAGCAAATTAGAGCATAATAAAGCCAAGTCCAATCAATAGAACCGTTAATTTTTCTTGAAGAATCTATGAAATTCCGTTCGTCGAACTAATTCTAAAACCAATCAACATGAAATTAGGGGGTCTTTGTTTCAAAAAAATTTGGCATTTGGGTGGGATTTCAAATTCTAGGATCAAAAAGTGGGTTTTTTTGGGTTTTAGAATTCCATAAAACTTGTTTGTTTCAAAACAAATTTTAGAATATCAAATCCCCAAATAATAAAAAAGTATTATATTTAAGGATTTATGAAATCCTTTTTTTTTGGTGGGATGGGTGGATTTCAAAAGTGTAAGACAAATTAAGGATTTCAAATTCCAAAAAGTTTGAAACAAACAAAATATTACAAATTATAGTAATCCAAATCCCAAAATATTGTTGAAACAAACAAAGTTGTAGGAATCCCAACCCATAACAAATTACCTATGGATTTCAAATCCCATGGTGAAATACATATCCTAAAATTATAGGATTTGAAACAAACACCCTTTAGAGAATTACTGATATTTTCCAATAACAAACTCAGACATGAACGATTTTACAGACACGAAACCATCAATTCGAATGACCAAATACAAGAGCATATAATTTCTGCAATAAAAATGAAAAGGTCATCTAATTTTTACAAAACCATCAAAAATTAACCAACTTCTTTTAGACCCAGATCACCAAAACTCAATCTTTAAACAAGACCATAACGAATTCCAATGAAATCAAGGCATCAACTTACTTTTCCCCATGGCGAAAGCACAAAAGCGTCCGAGCAAGAACTATCTAGACCAACGAGCACGAAAAGAAACCAAATTGAATTCAACGCTACTACAGAGAGAATCGCAAACTATCGAGGATTGGGCGAAATTTGCGACGAAGGATGAAGAAACTGAAGAGGAGACGACAGCATCAATTGATTCGATTGAGGGCACAGCCATGTGATGATCGAGAGAGGGATTTGGGGGTTGGATTTGGATCGCAAATTGAAGAGAGGAGGGGAAAAGGGAACGGGAGGCAGAGGTTGGATTGGATTTGACTTCTTTTATAACTGAACGGAGAAAATTGAAACCCTAGGTCCTTCCTTGCAAATGCGAACATAAAACACCCCAACCAATTCTTTAATTGCGTTTTTGCACCTGGCAAATAAACTTTGGAGTTTTGCAAACACAGCCCTGAATGTTTTTCCCTCTGGGTTGGTTAGTGTGCACCACATGCAAGGCACGGCCTCCATTTTTTTATTTTTGCTACAGTAACTTTGTATTTAAATACAGTTTTTGTAAGTGTTACAGCAACAATTTTAAATGATACAGTATCCCGTCTCGGCTACGGTGATAATATTATAGTAATGTTTTTAAACGCTACAGTTTCCTCTTATGCTACAATAATAATGCTACAGCAATTACTGTAGCATGAATAGTGAATCTTGGATCCTCTCATTATTACGTAGGAATAGATGCCATGGATTTAGATAGCTTTAGTTTCACACACACCCATGAACATTAGGGGCGCCGCATACAACCCCTAAACTTTGTTTATCTCGCATAAACGTAACCTCTTGAACTATGGGATGTCTCACAAATTTTTGTTGAACTTTAACCTTATCTCACCTGACTCTCTGCCCGTAACTTGCAAATAACTAAAATATTCTTGAGAAAAAAAATCCCAAACATTGTCATTTGTAATTTACGTGCAACACAACCCATATTCAAAAATTCTTGATTTTTTTCTTGAGAAAAATTTACTCGTTGGTAAACTACATGTTGGGGGTTTTGGTGAGAAAAGAATAAAGTTCAATTGGAATTTTTTTTGATACATTATAAATATCAGGAATTTATGTGAGATAAACAAAGTTCAGGAGGGTTATGCCCCGTAATTTATTTATATTTTATAAATTTTCAATTTTAGTTTGTAAATTGGATATATGTGTAATAATTTTTGAAAATTTTAGGTGGAGTTAGTGTCAAGAGAATCAGTTAAATGGGTTGTAGTAAGAAGGTCATTCATACTTTCTTTATTTATTTTTTTATGGAAATATTTTCTTTATAATTGCTTAATCGCTAACACAAAAAATTAATAATTACTTTTATCGTATTATCATAGGCTATGTTAAATATGGTTGTAGCATATTTATGTTTAGATTTAGCTTCAATCTGTAAGGAGCCCAAATATATAATGATTTTCTTGCATCAATAGACAAATATACATGTATCTGGTTTCTCATTTTATATCACATAATCGTTTTGGCAATTGCCTCTCCCTTAATTCATAAATAACCTGAAGCCAGTTCAGTTCTAGAATGCGGATAGAAAATATTAGAACAGTTTACAGAAATAGCTTAATAAAACCTGTTAAGTCTAATCTAATTGTTAGCCAACCAGGATAAATTTTGGATTGATTTTTTTTCCATGAAACTGGTTTTTAGCCCGACTGCAAAACAGGGCATACAGCAGTTCGTAGTTATGATCAAAATGTTGTCTAAGTTTGTTTTAAGTCAATAATGTTCTTAATCAATCTTTATGAAATGTAGACCACCTATATAAATAACATAGGTTATGTGAAGTACTAAATACTTGGTATATTTTTTGCAGGATATTCTCGAGTCCTTGGGTTAGAAGTACCCTGACGGTAATTTATGATCGCGGACCACGTGCAGAATATACCAAAAGGAGCAAAGAATAACCTCTCTGACGCCTACAAAGGAAGTCCTCGCAGGGAGCAACTAGAAGCCGCAAAAAAATGGTTAGGGTAAATTACGTAAATACCCTAAGGTTCCCTGATGTTGCAAAAGATACACTAACTTTCTTACCAGCGCATTATACAAATATGAGGGGGACATCTCACTTGTCTCCTCCAATGGTCCCATATTTGGGTCCCTATAGCCGTGCTCCTCAACTGTTTCACAAAATAGCATGTATACTTATTATGTTGCAAAATTGAGCAAATATGCATCTTGGATTATCCGCCGGCTAAAATTGGTAGACACCATTAACTTTTACCCAAAAAGATGAGATTGGCCTTCATCGAAATTAATTCAAAAGGAAAAAAAGAGTAGTTTGAATTGTAATTAATACAATCAATGAGGGTAGATGGTATTTAAAATAGACATATGACCAACACATGACAATACTCTCAATGCCGGTTGACAAAAGGTAGCATTGTGAACATTTTTTACAAGTCATGGTATATATTTGCTCCATTTTGTAACTTAGGGTGTATAAGTGTTTTTTTTTTTTTGTTAAATTATAGAATATTTAAGTGCAATTAAACCTTTTTAAAATGTTTGGTTTTAAGTTTTCATCTTGCTTAATTGCACTTAAACACTCTATAGATGTGATTATAAAATCTCTTTTCCTTGATTTTCTTTTTTCAGTTGAGACAAAAGAAATAGGGAGATGCAGAGAATGTGGCCGTTGAGATCGGAACAGTGCAAATGGCATATTTCACTTCTAGCTCTTTACCAACCTGAGCTACATCGATCCATACCTTTAGGTTTCATTTATACAATTTGATCTACTTTTATGTAAAAACAATTCATTTGTCCAATGGATATTGAGAAAATAAACAGTATTTTATTTATTATTTACGTGTATTATTATTAAGAATGTCAGTGGATTGGGGAAATTATGATAGATTAGCTTTTATTTTTGTTATTTTAAATTTGTTTAATATAAAAGTTATAAAAGTTGCATTGCTTCTATTAAGCAAATTTTCAATGCATATTGAGTTTTATTTATTATTCTCATGTATTTTGTTTAGGAATGTCCATGAATTGAAGAAAGTATCATAAATTTCTTTATTACATGTTTAGGTAATAGTTTTGTTTTTTTGTGTAGATTGGGTGTATATTGTAGCTTTTATCAGGCGACATTATATTTGGTTATTTTAAATAGAGGAGTAACATGCCTAAATGCTAAATAAGAAGGGGAATAGCATTCCTAATTTTTTTTATTACAAATTTATTTTCTTATTTTAATAATCATTGCAAAAGATATAATAATTCAAATAATTCAAATTAATGTAATGTGAAAAAAGTTAATCATATTGATAATATATAATAATGAGCACAATACACAAAATTAATATAAATAATCCGTGCTTTGCACGAGCCTAAAAACTGGTATGCATAAAAGGGAAGGAGTAAAGAATAACCTCCGTGACGTCTAAAAAGGAAGTCCTCACACTGCACAATCAAAAGCCAAGAAAAGGAGGTTATTATTTAAAGCCATTGTATTCCCTATTGTTACAAAACTGATCAAATATATATATTCAGTTATCCGCCGTTTAAATTTGGTAGACATCATTAAATTTTATCCAAAAGGATGAGATTGCCTTTCCTACGTATACATGCTATTATAATCAACGATTACTCATTGGTGGAGTAGCATCGCTTTGTTGTACTATCTGATCAACACCTCTAAGAGAGGAGTAAAAGTCAATTTTAAAAGAAATTATTGTTAGCCTCTTTCAGATATGAGTTTGCTTAACTATTTCCGTAGTTTCATACTGTTCTTCGCCAACGATCCGAGGTTGTAATATAGTTGACATTGAATCTAAAGGATCTAGAGCAGGATAAATACCTTTAGCAGCTAATTCCTTGATAGTAAGATAGTAGCATTTAAATGTGCAAATATTGTGGTAGGAGCAAGGTCGGTCAAATCATCTGCATCAAGCTCAAACTTCCTACTTGCATGCGTGCTCCCCCAAAAGCACACACAATAATGATAGGTAGATAACGATTAATAGCATACTTGATTTATATCTTGAGTTATCCACTGTCTAAATTTGGTAGACATCGTTAAATTTTACCCACAAGGATGAGATTGCCTTTCATAGTCCAAAAGGAGAAAAGAGTAGGTTGTAATTAATACATCAATGAGGGTAGATGGCATTTAGGATAGACATGTGACCAACACATGAGAAAATTCTCACTGTTAGTTAATAGAAGGTAGCAATGTGAATATTTCTCACAAGTAAAGGTATATATTTGCTTCATTATGTAACTTAGGGTATATAAATGATGTTTTTGTAAGTGTATGGTATTCAAGTGCAATTAAGCCTTACTAAAATGCTTCATTTCGTGTTTTTGTCTCACTTAATTGCACTTAAATACCCTATAGTTTCCTCTATATTGCAGTTATATATCCTCACTTATTTTTCGTAGCACCGAAAAGTTTTTAAAATTTGCATTCAAATATCTCAATTATGCAAACAAAAGAATTTCCCACCAAAAATTCTCATGCAACTTAATTTTTCAACAGATAATTTTTGTTAAATTTACCGTTAAAATTACGTAGTTCTATTTTAAATCTACCCTAATCATATTTAAAGTAGAATTTTGATCAATTTAACAACAAATTAAAAAAAATAGTAAGAATTAAAATGTTCTAAAATTAATATGTGAGTGTTGCATGAGAATTTTTAGGAGAAAATTCTCATGTTTGCATATCATAGGATAGTAAAATGTAAATTTTACAAACTTTAAGGTTATATAAGTGCTACAAAAACAAGTGAGGATATATAAATGCAAAATAGGTGAAACTCTTTCTACAAGTAGCTTAACTAACAACTAGCAAACAATGTCATTCTTTCTACACCGTAAAGATCGTTGAGTCACATAGCATGCATAATGTGATATGGGAAGGACCTTGGACGAAACCATTGACATGTAAAAACACTTCCCTCCTTGCACACAGAAATAACATGTTATACAAGTGCCAGAGATTTGATCTCCGGTGGACCCTCTTACTGTAAAGTAAGAGTTTTTCTTAATGAGACATGGATCATCCACAGTAGTGAAAAGACCATTACCTTAATGAGCGTTGTTTTATTTAGTGTGTGGTTATAATTTGTCTTTAATTGCAAATTAGGAATTCATGTAATTCACAGAGAGTATGATAAGTGTTAGATTTAGAACGAATCATAATCATTCACTAGAAAATCAATGATTATTAATAAGATAGTGGTCTTTCTACCACTTTTTTGATAGTGGAGAAGATCATTTTTTTGGTAGTGGAGAAGATTCAAATTCTTCT